GCTCTTTATCTTTCTTATGCACGCTCTCTGTCTCTCTCTTGCTCTTGCTCTCTCCCTGTTCATCTCTTCTCTTTTCTCTCTCTCTCTTTCCTTCTTTCCTTTCTCTTTGTTGCACTGCTGCAATAAAGATCTTTTGGTTGCTCTGAGTGTTGTGGTCACTTTCCTTTCATCAGGTATTCATTTGGGGTCTTGGAACATATTCCCTTTAGGTAAGAGACGACTACTGAACTTCTTTCCAGTTCTTTCCTCTTATTTGTCCTAAGATCTTACTTTGGATTCCCTAACTTGACATTCTTATAGATATTCTCAAGGAATCTGAAGGAAGAGGGACAGATTTTCTTTTAGTCTGCATTTCTGAGGATGTCCTTCCAGTGTTATGTCACATAAATTAATAATTTCCTGAATTTATAGGCAATGGCCTGATTTCTACAGCTCAACATAGACAGTTCTTATTACTTTTTAGCACTCATTATTGTGAAAGGAAGGTTAATGTCAATCTTTTGTTTTTGTTTTGTCAATAGTTTCTTTTTTTTTAGATTAGACACTAATTCTTTATGTTGAAATTTATTTTAAATTGACAGATTTTTTTTGTAGCTTTTGACTATTTTTAACAAAACACATCAAATACACACTCAAGCTGGGCTTGCTTGGTGGTGCATGCCAGCAATACAGGAGGTTGAGGCAGGAGATTCGCAAGTTTGAAGCCAGCCTCAGAAAATTAGCAAGGCTCTAAGCAATTTAATGAGATCCTGAATCAAAAGAAAAAAATAAAAATGTTTGGGAATGTAGATCAGTAGTAAAGAACCCCTGGGTTCAATCACCAGAACTCCCTCCATCCTCCTCAAAAAAGTACACACTCAACTAGATTGATGTTTGTAAGGTCAAGAATACTTTAATTTATTATTGCTAAGCTTTTCTTCTTTAGTAGTATTAATAAGATAGATCTGGCCTCTCTTTTCCACATTTGTTATTTTTAATTTTTCATTGATGTATCTTCCTTCTCTTCTGTTTTCTAGTATAATTTTTATAGTTTATCTTCCATTAACATGCCATATTTATTATTTTTCTATACTCCAAATTGATGCCAGTGTATGTTCATGAAGTCAGTAGTTTAGCTAGTTGTTTTTTTAATAAGCCTTGTTCTATTTAGTAGGATAACTTCAGTAATAGCTTGTAGAAAACACAAGGCAAATATTTCCTTATGAATTTTGATGGCATACAAAAAATCTACTGCAAATGGTATATTTTTCTCCAGAATATTGGTCCATTCTTCTCCTTCTCTTGAGTTAAAGTTTATTTTCATAAGCCTGTATTAATTCTCTCTTTGGTCATCCTTTTAGAGTAAGGTATATTCAGGCTGGGGCTGGAATCATAAAAGTAATACACTCAGTTTCAGGCTGGAAGAGAGGGGATATTTAGGTTTTCTATTTAATTAATGAGCCAGTGCTTTATAAAACTATCCTTGTACATTTGACCCACTTTGAAGACTCTTAGACACAGAGACGGATGCTTAGGGAAAAGGCTTTCTCTGAAGCACATAATCTATTAAATACCCATGCATCAACTGAAGGGTTCTGTCCTGGAGTAAAAATTAAAATATCTTGAGTGACTAAAGCTGGAAATCCATGATACACTCCAGTGGGGCGTTGCAAAAGAGCTCACTGCCCTCCCTGGAGAGACCGGATGTCAATTCTGAGCCATTGTTAAGAAGATCACTTCATTTTCTCCAGAATTTGGAGAATGTACATATCTTGCTCATATACAGCAAGGACAGGCAGTG